CTGGTATGAAAACAAATCTCCCCCCCCCCCCTCCCCGAGTTCTTTTAGTTCACCCTCAAAACTCCCTGCACCAAAACAAAGCCCCTCTCCGTCATCAGTCTTTCTCCTCTGCCTGAGAGCTGTTTTTTGGGCAACAGTTTCGACCTTGATTGCTTAGCGTCTGCCTTTATGGCTTTTATCGCTTTCTTTTTATTCTCTGTCTGAGTGTGTGTGTGTGAGTTTGTTTGTGTAGGAGTTTATATTGAAAACAAGTAGAAAAGATTGATGATGTGGCTGAAGTTTCCCGAAACACAAAAACACTCAGGAAATGTGTGGTGAACTAAAATGACCATTTCCAGCACTTTTTCTTCTGTTCTCTGTATTTATCTGAAGCACTAACCACAGTTTCTTCTTTCTTTCTTTTGCTCAACTATTTTCATTTTTTCTTTCCTTTTGTATTTTTTCCCCTCTTTTCTATTGACTTCTTGTCTCTTCCTCTTTCTCCAACTTTTTTTTCCTCTCTTCCTCCTTTTCTCCTGCAGCTACTCCTTCTCCTTCTCCTCCTCACTGGGTGCTCTTCTCTTCCTCTGGATCCCTCCCTCCGCTCCCTGAGGAGCATCTTCACGTACTGCCCATGTCACTCTTCATTCAGCCAAATTCTCATCATTGTCCAAATGTAACCTAAATTAACCTCCAACAGAGGAAAAGGCACTACTGGCGTCTGGACTGTAAGTGCATCATCCTCCTGCAGAACAACACCTCCAACAAATACTACAAGGTTGGTACTCGTTTGAGCCCCGGAAGTTTCCCGACTCATTTGTGCGTGCAGTGCAGCCGCTCATCTGTGTCCGTCCCTGCAGGAGATCCCTCTCTCTGAGATTCTGGAGGTGCGTCCTGCTGGGAACTTCTCCCTCGTCCCTGCGGGCACAAACCCCCACTGCTTCGAGATCATCACGGGCACCATGTGCTACTTTGTAGGAGAGGACGCCAACAAGGTCCTCCCTCAACACCCCACCAGCCCCCAGACTCCCCCCCAGGCCCCTCCCTCACCAAGCCAAGTTGCTCCTAATAGCGGCATTGGACACGAGGTGGCCAAAGCGTGGGAGAGCGCCATCCGTCAGGCCCTCATGCCCGTCATCTTCCAAGACGCACCGCCCCCGGAGGGGAACACGCCTCATAGTGAGTCGAAAGAAATCTAATGTACAGCAGAGGGTGTATACAAATATACTATACTATACTGTACTGTACTACAAAGTACACAGTATAATGTCCACCGAGTGAGAAACCAGGGTCAGCCATGTTCAACACTGAGTTACTGGACTGGTTTGGTCTTTAAATAGACCCAAGGAAAAAAAAAGGGAAAGAAATATTTACATCTA